AATTGTTTTCGCTTTATTCGTCATCAGGCTTGGTACAGAAATATACATTGAGAAGAGGAGTTCATTCGGGAAACAGAGAGCAACTATTGATTGAACAAAAATTTTTTTAAATGGTTAACGTAATGTGTCATGTGGTCAAGTGACTGAAGACATATGACACCCCTGAGTGAAGTCCGATCCATTTTTGTTAGTGACCGGCCAGGGTAGTTGTAATGCTTGGACATGTTTCTTCTGAATGCATAGATTAGGGTTTGTCAACCTGATGCATACCGCTTCAGCGGTAGCAAGTAGCCGAGCCCCTGACCGATGGTGTCGCTACAATGACTTGCGCTGATCACTCAGATGACCGGTGCAGATCAGATGGTTAGTTATTGCATTCAACTTAGTTTTGTCCTGTTGGGTGACGAGCGACGCTTTTCCAAGTGCCTGCTCGTGCACCCACAGGAGTAGGTAAACCGATAGATTGGCGTTGATCAGGCAGCTTGTGTTTAAATCTAGGAACAATGAGCGAACTGCTTGTAAAATCGATATTTAGTTAAGCTGCATTAAAAGTCTTTCGGCAAGTCTGCATCAGTTGTCGTGTACATATCTCAGCCGGTATGTCACCCTTGATTTTGCTGTCATCTAATTGTTTTGTATTGCGATACACTAGCTAAAATGTTTTTCGTTTCTTTCGAACTTGTGGCATGATGATGAGGCTTTTATAGCAGGTTCCAACTTCAGTTTTTTATGCCGGCACGCTGCTGCTCCACAATGCAGTGTTGTGACTGATTAGCCGCGCAAAAGTACACCGTGACAAGGTAATCGAAGAGACTGCATTTCAACTCGAGCAAACGGCTGCGCAGCGAGTACCACATCGATCTTGGGTCGACTAACATGCTAGACAGGAAGAGTAAACTATAGTTCCGATACGAGAAAGTGAAACATTAAATTTCGACCCTGTGACTGAAATAGATATCCAGCAGGCTAGATCACTGCGTAGGAGGTGAGACGTGTCGTTTAGAGTCTTAGATGAGCAGTCGAGGCATGCGTTAACATGCTTGCTACGATGAACTCGGTGATAGACTGCGTGATCAATCCAGAACGTCGGGACTAGTGAATGCATAAGAATAGTATGATTCTTTTGTGAAATTCCGGGGAAATAACAGGGGACATGGATATCAGTGGGGGAGAGTGTATTTGTGAACCTTTGAAATAAATAGTTTGGTAGGGAAAGTATTTTGGACCTCATAACGTAAAAGGACAGTCTTCTAAACCTTTGAAAAGCTTTGGGAAAATATCGATCTGGAAAACTTGTAAAGCAAGCAAACACCAAGACAAAGTTGGACTTGGAGAACCCGCTTGTGGTTGGGTTGCTACAAGCAACCTCTATTGAGACCTCGGTTCACTTGAGGTGGACCTCGGTCATTCCGATCACAAAGACCGTAAGTAAAATGGAAACATTATAGTGTTTCTCATCCCAACACTGGCACCCCAAGGCACTTTACAGTGGGTGAATGAGGAAGGTTTTGTTTACTGACGACCAAATGGAGGTAGGTATTACAGTGGAGCGCATCTTGTCATAGAGCAGCAAACAGAATTTGACATCGCATCACTTTGAAGGGATGGGAGAAGGAGAATCGAGAACTTGACTAAGTCAGCGTTTCATGTAGACATCATTGACTTTTCGAAGATTCCTCAATTACTTGGGCTGTACACCCTGATGTGATCGTCAGACATCTAAAATAGAGAGCAGACAGAAAATAGGGATAGCGTACCTTTGGAAAACACCACAATTTCCTTGGATTGCGGAAGATATTTTACCCCATAGTTTCGTGAAGTGTATACTATTTGTGAGGCTGTCACATATTGGATTACGTGCCTACGGCGGAACGCCATTCTTCAGCCAAACATTTAGTACTAGCCATCTGTCAAGACTCCCAAAGTCATTGATAGAATCGTCGGACAGGATCCGCATGATGCAGGGAAATGCACATGATAAGAAACGCATGCAGTATAGAGCCACTTGACTTGTGGGTAAACGGTGTGATATCCTTCTGATGGCCACTATGGGAATGCGCAGAATAAGTCGTTTTCTAGCGCCTTCGACAACACGCAGGTGAACGATATTCCGATACCAGCCGTAAAACATCGATTGAATGTCTCTATCAGAGGTGGCTGTTATGCTTCCGTGAATCATGTAGTGCGATTGGTTACAGGGCCACTAATCTTGTGAGCTCCTTATAAACACTGATATGACCAAATAGGTTGGGGGGAACAGTGACGGGGAAGGAAGCGGAAGTGCGTTTGCGAAGTTTCCTTGCACGTTCATAGGATGCATGATAGTGAAGGATGAGCCGCGCTATATCGCAGTTAGATATCAGTCATGGCAGTCCGCTGCCGTCACCCATTGGTCAGTGACACACGTCGCTGACCCATAGTGTGCGCTACTGACGAGCCCCAATAGAACGGGACGGCCTTCAAGCGCTCTCTTGGATGTGTGGTGGCTGAGTCCAGCTTGGCGGATCCCCCTACTACTTGCCAGTAATTAGTAGTCTGTTCGCTGGTCTGAAGTCCACGTTGATCTTGTCCGCATCCACAGTACCGAATACGCCATAGAAATGTTGCCGAAGAGTTGTAGATCACGACTACTGTGATTTTCTAAACTATCTTCAATGTTCATTCTCTTTATTTTCTCGGCTTTTATAGACACACATAAATCCTTGGCATGGTTAGTTGGTTCATACAACGCAATCTCCGCTCAAGGGGTTGGACCAATGTAGTCAACATATGCAAGTGCTATAGAAAAGCTTTTCATACCATAATTTCCTGTTTGGAGTAAAACATACACTAGTTTCACTTACGTCCCGTTTCGAATATATTAGATAAGTTATTAAGTTATGTCAAACACAGTTACGTCAAAGTACTATGATTAATCGAAGTCTAATGTGGTTTCCCCAGAATTAAATCACTTTTTGCAAAATTATACCCAACGGTTCAAGTAATTATTTGGTGGTTTACAGCTTGTCTGAATCCAGGGGAAACCATTACAACGGAAAGTATTGTTGACAAGTTTTTGACATGCGCCGGTCTCAGACACTGGTCAACAGAAAGGAACCAATTCTTCTCCATGATAACGCTGGGCCGCACGTCAGGCGAACAACCGTGCGGAACCTGCGTGATCTGGGCTACGAAATTTTGTCTCACCCCCCATACTCCCCTGACTTCCCACCTACCCATTACCACTTCTTCAAGAATCTGAAAAACTTCCTCCGGGAGAAAACTGTAGAACCCAGAGAAATGCTGATACTTCGACGATTTCGTTGCCGCCGGAACTCCGGAATCTTATTCATCCGGGATAAATAAACTTGGTTCCCGTTAGCAAAAGCGTGTCAATTTTAATGGTTTTTATTTCGAATAAAATGTCACATTTGGGCGAAGATTAAAAACCATAATACCTTTATCACATCATGCGTTAAATAAACGTTCGCAATTACGACAGACACAAGTACAAGAGTGCCAACATATGGTTGCTTATTACACCTGTCGGGTAACCAATTTACACTAGTTTTCATTAATGTAGACGCTCACATGTATGCGGTGCTTCGTCTTTCCTGGGCGGTCGGATCTAATGTGTCAGTAGTCATTGGGTTCATCTACTCCATCTTCAATGTCCGAATGTAACCAGCTTTCTTGTAACACTCCTATTATTGTGTTTACAAATCCTCTGCGTTGTATATGGATCTCGAGGTCCACAGTTTTCCAGGGTTGCGAACACACATCATTGGATGGGGTGGGCGGAATTTGGGCCACGTTAGCAAGGTAGCATCTGAGTCCAACTCCAGCCAGCAGGAGTTTTTACGACCCTAAATTTGGATGTGCTTATGATTTTGTGGGCATATTCGACTAGACGCCACTTTCGGATAACCAACGCGTAAGGGAACCTTGCTGACCTTACGGTTGATTCACTTAAACAGCTGATGAAATAATTTAAATTTTTAGGTAATCAACGGTGGGTGGGTTAGAACAATCTTCTAGTAACAACGGTAACGGTTTCATTTGACGCCCGCGCTTTTTTTCTCGGCTACCTTCTTGACCTGGTATTTAATCTTCAGCGAGTTTATATGGGGACGTACGATTTCCCTAGATTACGTGTAGGTTGCTTGTCTTACTTGCGTGTTTAGGTTGACCGGATGAAGGAGGAACAAGAAATCGGGCCTGCCTGTATCGATCGAGTGGATGAGAAGAGGGGTGTGAGATTGCCAGCGCTGGCTTATTTCTCCTATATTTTCTTCATCTGACTGCTACTCAAACGGGTGATGTACAATCTCAGTATAGCACTCCTCTTTGGGATACCTATGCCTCTTGGCTTTGGCGCCACTAATTCACCTACATTTCAGTTCTCAATCGGAATCTTGTATAAATTGTTCTCTTGAAAATCAGCTGAATTTATACAATGAGCTACTTGGTCCACGTGGCTGTGTCCCGTATTTTACCCTGCAGATGAGTCTGGCTCGGCTACATCTCGGCGCATGCTGCATGAGTCTAGGGTAAAACTAAGAAAACAACTGGTCATTCATCGGTCATGCGTATCGTCTCCTCTCGGCAATTTTGGAAACAGCCATCTTTTTTACTACCTTAATGAACTTATTTGCATCACTCAACAACCAGGTCTTTTTAAGCCCATCTCCAGCTGAGAGAAATCCTCTGTCACGCATGCCTCAGACCAAGCAGTTTCGTGTGGAATAAGCTTAGTCCTGCTGTCAATTTGGAAACACAGGCCTAACGTGCTCGACAGTTTCTTATCTGTATACGATGAAGCTCATGTTTATAATGACCCTTTACATCATGACGATAGCTGTTCACCACCCCGGTCACATTGGGAGGATAACTTTCAGGTCACTACAATATCATATGTGTGTTTTGACTACTGCTCATCTATAGTTTGCCATTTTTTGGTTTCTTTACACAGACTGCTCACTTGCTATTGGTGCATCTACCTGCATTTGTTTCTTTTGCAGAGAAATCTACAAATAGGAAGCAAAGTTGTTCAAGCACACAATCAAGCTTGGGATCTGTTGTGTAACACTGTATTTGTCCCACATCGCAACTTACATTCCCGATTTTGATATATTTGTAACTTTGTGGCCCGTGTTGTCTTGTGATAAACCCTTTTGAGATAAAAAGGTGCTCTTTTTTCCGCGAAAACATTTCAACTGCAACTGTATGGGTTTAGTCGTCAACACAAAATATATCTATAATTTGCACTACGCACAAACCGGTGAGTAATTCTGTCTTGATGTACATTACCTACACCTTAGCCAACTTGTTTTGGCCTACATGAGCACAGCTCATCGGATACTGTCCCTTGATGGAACGACCTGTCACCCCATGTCTGACACCAGCACACTTACTTAGGACGCGCGACATCAAGCACATGCAACGTTATGTACTATTTCCTCGGACGCAATTGGGTACCCAACTGCCTACTTTCAGCGATGTGCCGAAATCGCTTCACTCAGGCGATTTCGATTGTTCGTAGTCCCGGCGCTCTGTTTTCGGTCTCTTTCTTGCTTGATCTCTCCTGTTCTAAACTATCATGAGTAACATTGGACTCACTTTCTTTGTGGTACCTGGAACTCTGTCCACATTTTGGACAAATCATTATTCTCTGCGGTTCCCAGGAAGCCTCCTTGTTATCTCGCTCCTACATGGGGATACGTGTGGCTAACTGTCTCTCACCCAGCACGTGGTTCAAACATCGCGCCATGGAAACTGCAGGTTCATTATATATATTTTGTGTGTCTTTTTTGTCTATTCGAAGCTTTTGTGCAATGGGGCCCGTAATGACTTTTTGGTATTCGTGACTAGAGTACTGAAGAGTTAGCGTGGGGATGAGTAGGATGGTCGTTGGCGATATTCGGCAATCGGTACTGGTGTCAGCCCGTAGAAAAACTACTTACTAAGCATCTTGGAAAATACTTGCTAGGCATAGTTCACACGTTCGCCCAACAATCCTCCATTGGCCTGGTCTAACTGGATGCCACACGCGCATACCTTACTCTGAGGATGGACGATAATTGATCATTTGTTGATTTCGCTCTGTCCTTTCACTTGATCTTTCATGCTCTGGTGTTAGGTGCATTTTATAGGTCGGTATTAAGTCAAGTTATTTGGCGGAGAGATTGGAATGCCAACTTTGAGTGAATGTACGCAACTCTGGTCGTATTCTAAGGGGCAACTCTATGGTTTGTTGAAACGGATAGCGCAAAACCTCTTGACTACCTGAATTTACTTCTAAACTTGGATCTGCTACTATGTCTTCTTGTGCAACACATGTTTAGACTTCTGCACCAGTTATCGGATGAAAAAAATCAGCGACACACAGATGTTGTTCACAATGAGCACGTCTTTCTAACAGCTGGTTGAGCCAAGGATACGTTCTTTCACTTCCGCGGCGATTAACGAAATATATCTACATTCGGATACTTTTTACATGCCCTTCCTTCAACCTGAAAAATAACTTGAATAGGTACATAAAGCGTCTACTACAAGCCTCCCCTGATCACAAGTTCGATGACCTCGTTTACAAATTTCACTAAAATGTGTCACCTCAACACATGATGGCTGTCCTACTTCACCGGAACCTCCTGGATGATCTCTCGCAGAACGATGTGCACCAAACGTAGGGTCGCTGACAAGTGTTCCTCCTACACAAGGGGCGGACCTGTGATGAAAAATACTAAGTAATTAATGAAATTGAGCCCAAAACGTCCGCAATGAGTGCAAAATATTAATCATTTTTATGCCTCGTCAAATTGAGCGACGCCATGGCGTCGTAGATAGTGCGAGCCATCATGTTTACTTTGCCCCCTCCACGGGATCGGTCACCCGCTAGGCAATGCGATGAGGATAACCTCTCCCCTTCGGCAATCTCGGTGTTATCCGCCATAGCCGTGGAAACTCAAAAAAACATCATCAACAGCAGTACATCAGCCAGTTGAACTGATGCTTCGCTGCCATGCAACCATGGGGACCTATGAAATAAAGAATAAGCAGAGGGACAGAATGGGTCTTATCTGAAAACCTTAATGCCCTAAGCAAACATTCAGGGTCAAGGTTGCTGCACCTTGTGTTAACGACATACCGTCACAAACAGCTGGCCGTCGTGCAAGGCGGTATTGGCGAGACAGCTTCCTTGCGGCTTTCACTGCCACGCGTCATATTCAGCCATTACCCCGCAGATAACTGAGCACCAAACACACTTTAAACAGGCAGTCCGATTAGGGGACGGCAGCAGACGCGGCACTGGTGTCGGTTGCGAGCCATGTCCTGTAAAGTCTCGAGCCAAGCACAAGGCGAGTCAGGTGGACTCCAACCCGGAACACGAGTCGGACCAACGGCGCCCAGTTTGGTCTTCAGTGACTTTATTTCCCGCTGCCAAGTCAACTTCTGTCCACCTAGTGCCTTGCACCACCCTACACCTGGCAGACTAAACGAGGCCCTCCTAGGTAAGCGGTGACCAGGCATACGTAACACGTGTCCGAGCCAACGCAACTTATTCAGTGCTATCTGTTGTTCTAGGGAGCTAGTATGATTATCACTACCTAGTACTCGCCTGCGCACATCATCGTTGCGGACACGTTGGTGCCATCCGACACCAGCAATGTTTCGCAGACGACGATGATCAGGTGTTCAGACCGAAGGAGCCAAGTCTCACTGCCACAGAGCAGAACGGTCCTCACTGTGGCCTTGTATACACGGCGTTCCAGACGGAGGGAAATTCCCTTCTGTCGCCAAAGATGCCGCAGGTTCAAGAAGGCAGCTCTGGCTTTTGCAATGCGTGAACTGACGTCATATTCTATGCGCCGCTCGTTGCTTACGCAGTTGCCAGGATAAGTGAATTGATCAACCACCGAGTTCCTTGTTAGCAAAAGACAAGGGGTCATTAAGTGGCTGGTTGTCCTGCAGCAACACTTTGCACTTTGCAGGTGCAAAGCACATACCAAATAATGGGTTCACTCTAGACAGGCTATTCAGAGTTGATTATGCCGCCGCAATATCGTCGAAAAGTAAGACGATATCGTCCGCATAATCTAGCCCTAATTGTATATTGCCACCATAGCCGATTCCGTCCAGCCAACCGGGACCCTGTTCCTTCCACATACGTTCGATTAGGGAGGTCAGTGCTTTGTAGAGGACCTCACCTCCATCTTTAAATAGTGCAGGTGGGAGGAGATCCGGGCCAGCGGCACGGAAACGATTGAAGTCTGTGATCACCTTTTGACCTCGGCCTACGACGGAGGCTCTAAACTAACCGCCCATGGCTCGTCCTGCATCACCTGAGTAGAAAGAGTTACGGGAGCAGGGGGCCTGCAGAATTTATCTTGAAAGTCTTCCGCCCAACGAGCCATACGACACTCCTTATTGTGTATCAGTGCATCTGCGCTGTCTCTGATTGTCTCACTGACGCCTGGTTTCTTGGGACCAGTGGTGCCCATCAGCTTGCACTAAATGCCTACTGCTCCTGCCTCCCCCATCTGTTGAGCTCGAGTAATTCACGATGCTTCCATATCAGCACTAGGCTCCGCTTTAGTTCGCGCCTAATGGCCCGTCTGGTCACAGTGTTTTTAGAGCCAGTCGCGAGGTTTCTTCTAGATTCCAACTGGTTCACCGACCTCTCGTATATCCAGTGACTAGTGCAGTGACCTCTGATAGTGCCACAAGCAGATGCTCCTGCATCGTGCATGGCTGCCGCGGTCCTATTCCACTGAAGCTCAGTGTCATTAAGAAAAGACAGCGAAAGTCCGGTATGCAGTGCGTCTTGATAGGCTTGCCTGACTTAGGGCTGAGACCGTTTCTCAGTTGCCAATTGAAGAGGACTCTTGATACGCCTCCCGGTTAGGTTCTTGGAGAAACGAGTGCGACAGGTACTCCAGTACGAGCGGCAATCCAGGATGGAACCACGCCACCTGTAACCTATGGCTATATGGTCAATTTGGGTCCATCGCTGGCCAGCTACGGGAGATGCCAAGTAGCACTTCGGCGCCCACTGTGTCTAAAAGCGGTGCTACTAAGAACAACTCATGCTGTGCACGCAGTTACAGCAGACGCTTACCGTTGTCAGTTCGTTCGGAGTTAAGCCCATAATTACCACCCAGCTGAGCTTCAGAAGAGCTTAAACCCCCTAGTTGTGCGTTCATATCCCCAGCAAGTACTATACTATCTAAAATAGTAGCACTGCATAGTAGCACGTTCAGTTCGTGATAGAATGTGTCCTTGACAGCAATAGAACTGCAGTCAGTGGGAGCATAAGCGAAAACCACAAACAAACAACGTTTTTTATTACTTCGTGAATCCACCTTAGCTGATGTCGTCAAACAGGCTGCACATAAACGGCTGTTCACCGGAATCCAATCAACCGACCATGGCTCAGCCTTGGAGCCTAAAATGATACCTACATCAGCTTGACCCGTGAGTGCTGCATCAGGATCTCCGGATGCATGCAACCAATAACTAGAGGATAAGCCGGGTGTAGTTAATTCAACAACCCCATTTGGGTCATTGATTCTAGTTTCGGACACACAACACACATCAATACCCAGTGTGTCCAAGGGGCCTGTTAATGCAGCCTGTTCCTCAACAAATCGCAGCAGTATAAGTAGTTAATGGATACAGCAGTTGGTCAACTCTTACCATATACAATCCAAGTTGCATCGAACATGCCGTGACCACCAGCAAAAGTCAAATAAGAAGGGTGTATTACTCGTGAAATTCTCTGAAGCAACTTTTCATCTTGCTAAGGCACAGGTGGACACTGCACCTTGTACACTTGATCACTGTCCGACCCCTACAGTTTGGGAGTTTACATGGTTGCCGTGCAATATAAACCACTGGCCAGTAGCCCACAGAATTTGACCCGACTTATAGTGATGGAATTTTCTTAGCTGGACTTCGGCGTTGCTTTCTTTTGAACTCCTTTTCAACTGATGATGAAAGCCGCCCCCTCTCCCTCTTCGGCATATCTTTCTCTTACATAAGGCGTGATTCTGAAAAGCAAGTCTCTCCTTTTCTGTAGTGGTACCGTCAGGGAGTCGCAATCACGTCGACTGCGTAACCAGCTGTTGGCTACTACCATGTCGACGAAATGAAATTATAACCTGTGGTAGTATTTTCTGAACCTTGTATGAACCCGATAATATTCAATCAATGCATCCAGCGCATCAACGCCGCCCATGAAGTTATTATACAATATTATGATGCCTGGACACTCCACAGCTTCTATTTTCAATATTTTGTCCCATCTTTGAATGCAACTAACTGGTTGAGCACTAACAAAATTCCTGCATTGCCCGTATTTCTTCATTCTGTACAAGGACTGCTATCCTCAAATGTCCCTCTTCCCTCCTTGTCATTGTCTTCGCTGAAACAGCACCTCGGTAAGCGATTTTGCCATACTGT